GGTAGATACTCTCACCGATTAACCTTGCTCTGATTACCACATGATATGGCAGGGGCTGATCCCGATCTTTCGATGAGAGGATGGGGTAACTTTGATTTGGGGAAGGATTCGATGTTGGCTATCCGACTACAACATCCAGCAGGGTTGCTGCGCCTTAGCAACAGGTACACCAACTCTGATTTGTTGTTGTTCTTGCCGTGCCAAGAACAACCCTGAACCTACAAGCAATCGAGAACAAGCAAGAACAAGATAAACAAGCAACAACTCACGGATCTGAATCAGGACACGAATTTGGGGTTGTGAATCAAGTAAATCGGGTGGTCTAGGTGACACACGTGTTTACAAGGAAGTAGCTGAAGCTAAACTTGCATCTGAACAACCCCCCCTCAAATGGCGGCTGCTACATGTCTTTTAAAGTGGGAAACAACCAGGAGGCGTGGGAGGGTGGAAACTCTAAATTAGAATGGCCCCTAGTGGGCTTTACTTGATAAGTGGTTCTCAGCCCATGACTGGAGGTCCAAACATCTTTTCGTTGATTCTGCTCGTCTCCGGTGGAGTCTGGCCATGAGGTTGGATCCATGTGAAAATAGACATCAAGATCTTTCCAATGAGTACTCATGGGCCTTCAACAACATCCGGAGTCGAGAGTTATGATCAAATCAATCTGGTGCTGCTACGATGTCCAAACGTGCACTTCGAATGTTTAGTATGGTCTTCTTGTTGTTTACACCAGCATCCGCTAAATGGTTATCTTGATGACCTTGCACCCAGCTAGTTCCTTCCATCTTCCTAAGCATAAGGAAATCATCACAAGAATTTAGTAGTACCCCATCCGAAGAAGAAATTGTTTGGACAGCGAGGAACGACTTTACCTGATAATTAAGTTCTCATGCTTTAGCTCGAGTCATTGGCCCTTGTTGTGCAATAGGTATGGTTGTATCCAAGGAAGACATGTCCTCATCACCGACCCCACCCCGTTTCCTCCTAGGGGTCTGTTGGCGGTCCTTATCGACCAAATTCGACCGCCGAATAAGATACAAAAATAGGAGAACTAAGCAAACTTACACACATATGTTATTCATATTGACATATTTCCACATGTATTGGAATATCAATATTTTGCATGGCATATACAAGAATACGATGGAATTATAGTCAAAGTACGTCATCAGAGAAAGCGTAACGCATATCCACTCAAACCAAATACAAAGAAAGGCCCATCCAACTGATCTAACCAGGCCAAGCACTGACATGGCAAGGACCTAGGCCCAGCCAGTAGCCCACCCGCGCAAGGCGGTGGCGAGGCAGCCCAGCAGGGGTGCAGCCACACCGCCCCAAGCCCACTCGGCCTCTCTTCTATGGCGGTTGCATGGCGGCATGCAGAGGTGGTGTAGGCTAGTTTCCTATTTTCCCAACGCCAAACCGACCATGCTAAGGCTATAAATAGATGGGGAGAGCTCTCACACAATACACACCACACTTCAAGAGTCTCTTTCCCTCCACCTGTATCTTTTACTATTGTTAGTAGTTTTATTTGGAGCAAGGCAAGCCAAATTCATCATAATTTCAGTTTTATGACGAAAAACGGTTCATCATAGAAGTCGCTCCATTCCTTAACTTCTATGACGATTCTAGAAATTCATCATACATGTGGATAGATCAATAACAAAAAATTGATCATCATAGAACTATTTTGGCATGCGTGGCAAAGGGGCATCCATGCTGGTGGTTGCTTCCATTGGAGATGCTTTCCACGTGTACCTGCTATAGCTGGTTGCATTGGAGATGATTCGAGTACGTGTCACCTTGTTATTGGACAATGTGGCCATCTCTGGTTTTTGCACATTTTAGATTCTTAATGGACCATGTGTCGAGCCCCTGTTGTTCCACATGTCAATTTTCTATTGGCACATGTGTCATATTGCGGTTGGGTCACGTGTCATTTCTTCATTGGACCATGTGTCGTATTTTTATTGGTCCACGTGGTCGTTTCTTATTCGACCACGTGTCACGGTGCTGTCTGTCCATGTTTTGTTTTTTGCTTCAGCCACGTGGCTTGACGACTTCCTTCCACATGTCAAATCTTTATTAGCCAACGTGTCGTGCCATGACTATTTCACGTGTCATGCACTGGTTTGTCTATGTGTTGCATTTTTATTTAATCACGTGGCCTGCCCAGGTTCTACCACGTGCCCAACAATCAATTTATCGTAAAAGTAATTCAAGATCATCACTGTTGCATAGATTGAATAGGATGACCAGCTTGTGGAACCAAAACAAAACATGGTAAGACAATGGACTCTAATATGCTAGTTTATAGTTTCAATTATGTAAAAAAACAAAGAATAGTACAAAGAACATTCCTAACTGATCCTCCCCTCCACACAAACACACACAAAGGTACACTAGTGATATAGTACATATACACTTAAAACTAGTTGCAAATGACAGATCCAAATTTTTATATGCAGAACATAACCAATGGGCTGACACTTGGGCTTAAAGCATATATTAATAAAAACTTAGGCTTAGAGCATATATTAAGAAAAACTCAAGCTCCATGTCAGTGCCAATCCAACTCCATATATTAATGAAACATAGAGAATACTTTTAAAATAGTAAAGACATCTATCAACTGGTTCCCACTGATTCTTAAAACACAATCAGTATGTATCTGTAACCATGTAACAATAGTACACATCAGAATGTTACCAGATCAAGAGTTCAAATGCTACACAGACATCTGATTGCAAGCAGTCCAAGTGCTTCATTTCTTAAGTGCTTAATTTCTGAAGCATTATTTTGGCCTTAAATCTTTACTGAATGAAGCCACGGCAATACTCAACCATGTCCAGTTCCCAACTAGCATTACAGATCAGAGTGATAAATTAAAGGCCGACTAAGTATTTGCAATCATCTACAGAAAATGAAAGATTACGGGAGAAGGCAAAACTATGGAATCGAGATAGGTGACCTGCCAAACCATTCGCCTCATCTGTGCACATGCAGAGTATGAGGCGTGCACCTCTGATCTGCTACTCTATCATGCGACCAAGCAGTGACTACTTATGTCTGTATAAAATCATGGAATACTAAAGGAAGTATGATAGAAGACATTATTGTTAAGATATTTCAGTAATGTACCTGAACCATCAGTTTTTGACAGGCCCCTTTATAGTGATTATAGGGAGTGAGAGAACTTACTATCATAAATACAATATATATCTGTGTCCAGACAGGTCTTGGGAACTTAAATTTTGACGATATCTTTGCAGCGCCAAAAGACCCCTAACATAAAAGAATTTGACCAGGTTTAATCCTCACTACAATAAATTGTACTTAAGATCAAATGTTACAGCACTCCGGTCTGGAAAATAAAAGCAAGAGTAATATTCACTACATATATTAGAGCATTGATCTTTTTAGTATGTTACTAGTGTACTACTATGTAGTCCATACATTATCATACTCGATACATCAGAAGAGATTTTACATATATGTCTATGTCTTCAAATCATAGAATATAATACCTCATTGCTTCTCTGCTGTGGCAAAGCAAATCTTTATGGGCACAGAAAGTTCTCCTCCTACCTGATTTCCACCCAAAGTTCTAAATAGCGGGATTTAGCCTCAGCTATAGCGGGATATAGCGTTTCACGAGGCCAGACGCTACGCTTCGACAAGTTTAGCGCTACAGAAAATTTTCCGCTATTTAGCGGCTAAAAGCACGCTATTCCCGCTGAAGCGATGTCTATTTAGCGCCGCTATCTGGCAAGACTGCGTGGGCTTTGATTTCCCTCCAGCCCAAATCAAGCGCAGGCCCAAAGTGCTGGCAGTAAGACTCAGTAACCTATCTCTTGTTCGGTCGTTCCTCTCCGAGCTCGTGAAAGGTGTTGGCGGTGGCAGCGGTGGCAGCAGCAGCTGTTGTTGTTGCAACTGGCGAGCAGCGGGAGTGCTGGACCGGCGAGGGGCGACTGGACAGCGGTGGGGATGGTCACGGGCTCACAACGCTGGAGTGCAGGTCTGCAGCCGTCGCTGTGAGAGGCAATATTCCTCTGTTCTTCTCGTATTTCTAATTTCCTGTATTGTTTACGACTGGCTGCTGGATCCCTGGATGTGAATGGTAGTACAGCAGTGCTGCAACTCATGGTGAACTGAATAGCTGATTCGTTTAGGATTTTCTATACCGCATTGCTACTACTGCTCACGATTGGTTTACTCTTTACTGTAAATGAATTGGCCTCATCTTCTATGTTTATTACATGTAAAATTATCTAATGGTTGACATAATTTTTGCTCAGCCGCTAAATAGCTTAGCCCGCTATTTAGCCCGCTATAGCCTTTCTTAGCCTTTGGAAAAGGCTGCCGCTAAGGGGCTTAGCCCGCTATTTAGAACATTGTTTCCACCTAGTGTATATCCATCTCATTGGACATTGCAGAAATAAGTCAAAAGAAGTGTTGTTACTGAAAAAAATCGGTCATCTTTTGCACCCAGTAATTAGGGCTTATTTTAGCGGTACTGAATATAGAAAACAGGTGTCTTGGACTCTTGGTTACTAATGCAAGATTATATATGAGCTTTCAGCTATGTACAATAAAGTAATCAAAATGTAAAGAACCAAAGACTTGGGAAATAAAAGAATTGTACCTCATGGTTAAACAATTAACCTATCATTATAAAAAATATCTATTAAAATCACATCTACAAATAAATTATTTAAGAGTTTTCTTCCATTCTCTATTAACATATACTAGAGTACAACACAAGATTGTGAATCCAGGTAGGATGTACAGTGACACATGTTCAGTTACAAACTCTAAAAGTACCCGGTTCATCCTTGGAACTTAATATAAAGAAATATTTGGCATGTCAATTGATAAAAAAAAAACGTTGCCGCTGGGAACTACATCTGCAATGTTCAAGACCTATTTTTTATGTAAACAGCAGAGAATGGGCTGTGAGGAGGACGAACTCACGTAGATCTGTAACTCAACAAACCATGGGAGACAGGTGCTGTGCTGAAGACGGGGAAGTCGAGGTGCTGATATGTTCGACGTTGTTGCAACCTTGGCCGGAGTGGATGAAGCAACAGCAGGCCGTATCCACCAAGATCTCGTTTGGATCGGTACGGTGGTGCCATCGTTTCCCCCATCTCACCTGCAAACCCCTCCGGATCACTGCTGCCGGTGCTCCGCCGCTGCACGGGTCTCACATCTCTGCTCCTCTGAGCCTGCTGCACGGGTCGGAGATGGACCGCCGCGCCACTGCATCGGAGAGGAAGTGCTCGACCGGATTCTCGTCTCTACAGCTACTCCTCGCTGCTCCTCGCTGCCGGCCGCGCCAGGTAGCCGCCCAAGCCGGCGGCTGCCCGCTTCCCAGGCTCCCACCCGCGGACCCGCCGCCACTCGTCGCCTCGCCGGAGCCTCGAGGTCGAGGGCTAGGGTTAGCCGCAGCCACTTGCCAGTCTTCTCTGTCGAGGAATGACCGAATCGAGCAAACAGATTGCTCTGCTACTCCGTCGCTCGGGACTCGGGAAGGTCAAAGGGACTCGGCCACTCGGGAGATGAGGGTCGTGTCCGCGGGGGCTGGCAGCTTGCGCGAGGACGTCGGCGGACCTCCGTGGCCTATCCCTCGAGCGCGAGGACGCCGGGAGAGGAAGGGAGCGGAAGCGGAACTGCGGGCCAGAGCGGCGGCGGCTGGGGTGAGACCGTGATGAATGGGTTTTAGGGTTACGTTGCCGCGGGGATGCGGGGTTCATTTTACTACTCGATTCGGGCTCTCTCGCGCGCGGGGCTGAAATTGTGGCGGGCCAATTTGAAACTCACGAAAATTTTCAAAAGCACGTGTATTTGAGCTTTGGTGGACCAGCAAGAATTTGTTTTTGGCTGGAATTTTATTATTAAATATATTTTAAAACTATTTGTATCATAAATATGGTATGTTTTTATAAAGATTCGATCAAATTTTAAATTATTTGATTATGGAGAAACGAGAGTTGTATTTTTTAATGAAAGGAGTAAGTGCTATTTTTGGCATGTTTCATGAACTCTTTGCTTGGCTCTCCAAAATTGAGAAAGATTGGTGGCTTGGGGGCTTGATTAGATATACTGAAAACAACATATTTCACATAAATACTACTGAACAAAAATAATAAGTAGATTTATTTTACATAAATAAATATGTGAAACCATGGTTACACTAAAGTGTTAAGTAAAGGAGATAGAGTTTATTATTAATCACCTCATATTCATTTTATGGTGAAAACTTATTTGGGCCTTGTTTAGATCACCTCCAAATTCCAAGTTTTTTCACTCTCTCTCCATCACATCAATTTTTAGCCGCTTGCATAGAGTATTAAATATAGGTAAAAAAAATAACTAATTACATAGTTTAGTTGGAAATCACGAGATGAATCTTTTGAGCCTAGCTGGTCCACGATTGGACAATATTTACCAAATAAGACGAAAGTGGTACTATTCATCAGGTTCAAAAAACTTTCAATCTAAACAAGGCCTTGGGGTTTTATTAGAATGTAGTTTGGTTACGTATGAAATTTTAAATTTTTCTGGGAAAGGGCATGTAGCCTACGTAGCACATGATGTCCTAGGTTCGATTCCCTGTGGGAGCGTCAGGATTTAACGATTTTGTGCTTTTAGTGGTAGTCGACGTTCTTGTGGTGACTTCATTAACCTTGAGGATTTGGCAGCCCAGTCTTCGAAGGTGCTCATAGGGATGGGTTTTTGTGAGCGTGCATTAATAGAGGTCAATGTATGTGTGTTATGAGCATCTACATTGTAATGTGTATTCTCAAAAAAAATAAAATTTTCTAATAAAACTCGTTACTTTAGTTGGAGGATAACGAATACCTAACACCTGCATTACATAAATCCCTTACTAAGCACTTTCATGACACGGCGCCCTCGCGGTAGAAAGGAGTTTTAGCCCCACGTGTCGGCCTCTGCCCACTCATGGCATATAAGGCTCGCCAAGAGACGAGCAAATCGGGGAAGGGCAAACCGGGAAGCTAGTCGACCATAGTCTGCCTCTGTCACCGGGGAAGGGCGAACCAGGAATCTAGGATAAAACCTTAGTGTCTTGAGTGTTAATCACCAAAATTCCGCACATTGACCAGTAATCACTTGCCGTGGTTACGAACCCATGATTGGGGATGTCCACTCGAAGACCCTGACAAATATGTGTCATATATGTTTACACTAGCAAATATATAGGTGTGTTTCAGTGGGAGACAAAAGGATATCAATAACTCATGGAAAATGAGGATATCAACATAGAAATATCAAACCTATTTTTGTTTGATCCCTTCCACTAGAGGAGCCACTGCCCGGCACCCGCGCGATCGCCTGGGCTCATCAGCAAAATACAGGGGAAAATTTTAGTTGTAGTATAGAAAATATTATATCTTTTTAGATAAATATTTTTGCACAATGAGAAATTGAGAATAGCACCGGCTTCCAAAATTTTAGGCTATACCACTGATCTTTTCTTTAAATTTCTAAAGTTATAGTTTATTTTTAAGATGGCTGTAACATCCACAATATATTAGCTAATGTTGGGAATAATATGACAATGTCTTATTAAATATGTCTAGACTAAATTGTACAATAAAATACTCAATATTTCAGTTACTGTGGATGAACCTAGTCTATATGGGCAAGCAGCCTGAGCCCGTCAGCCTGGTATGAGGCCCGTATTTTTTGCCCGGCCCAAGCACGGCCGGGCACGTTAGCCAGCGGGCCTGGGCTGGCACAGCCCGGAGGTGCAGGCCATGCCTGGGCCTCACCCCAGGCACGTGGGCCAGCGCGGCATGGCTCGCTCCTCAACGGTAGGCCCAGTGTCCCCCACGGCTCCTCGCCTTGTCATTTGGCCCAGCCCAGTTCCCGGCCGCAACCCCCTCGGTCCATATATAACTCGGCAACCGCGGCTCCCCGCTCCCACCCCCAAAGCCTAAATCACAATTCACAAATCCTCCCCCCCCCCGCCACGCCTCTCTGGCTCTCTCTTGGCTCTCGCTCGCACTCCGACTCCGACCGTCCCCGTCGTCCATCGACCATCGTCCCTGACTCCGGTGACCTCGCCGCCGCTCCTACACCTCACCCTGAGTTCCCTGATCCCCTCCTCCTATCACGTCCCTTCTCCCTATCTCTCCTCTGTCCTCTCGGTGGCCATGTGAGTTCGTGTCCCTATCCGTCCCTCCGCCGCCGCTCGCCCTCTGTCGTTGCCTCAGGGTGGCCCTCATCTTCTCCGGCGCAGGTGAAAGTTTTAGTTTGGTTTTGGTAAATTGATGAAACCCTAAGTGCTAACCTAGTTTATCAAAGTGATTATGAGATAGGTAGCACTACTCCAAGTGATGAAGCAATGATAAAAATCATGATGATGGTGATGGCATGGTGATGATCAAATGCTTGGACTTGGAAAAGAAGAAAGAGAAAAACAAAAATCTCAAGGCAAAGGTGAAACTTGATAGGAGCTTTTTCATTTTGGTAATCGAGACATTTAGTGAGTGTGATCACATTTAGGATCGATAGCCATACTACTAAGAGGGGTGGAACTCGTATCAAAATGTGGTTATCAAAGTACCACTAAATGCTCTAACTCATTGCGTATGCATTTAGGATCTAGTGGAGTGCTAACACCCTAGAAAATGTTTGTGAAAATATGCTAACACACATGCACGAAGTGTTACACTTGGTGGTTGGCACATTTGATCAAGGGTGGTGAAGTTTGGGGTCAAAAGAAGATATTTCGTATTGACCAGACTCTGCCTTGAGGAGTGACCGGACTCTGACACTGCGTCCGGTCAGTGGTGTGCAGTGAAGGCCACCCACGGTCCTTTGACCAGACGCTGAGAAGAAATAGGACCAGACGCGATGGGGGTGCGTCCGATCAGGCTATGACATACGCTGACACAAGCATCAGAACAAGCCAATGAGGACCGAACGTGTCCGGTAACCTATGACCGGACGCGTCCGGTCATAATTTTACCTCTCTAGGAGCTCTCTGGAAATGACCGAACTCTGATGGATGGTGCATCCGATCAATTGAACAGGAGCGTTCGGTCGATGGTCAGTGAGCGCTTACGAGTGAGCCATTGTGCGCCAATGGATAGTTCCAAATGGCTAGGACACGTTGCAGTCAGGCTACGACCGGACGCAGCGACCGGATGAAAGCTCTAGTTTGGTTTTGGTGAATTGATGAAACCCTAAGTGCTAACCTAGTTTATCAAGTGATCATGATATAGGTAGCACACTCCAAGTGGTGAAGCAAATGAAGATCATGACATGATGATGGCGATGCCATGGTGATGATCAAGTGCTTGGATTTGAAAAGAAGAAAGAGAAAAACAAAAGGCTCAAGGCAAAGGTATAAATGGTAGGAGCCATTTTATTTTGGTGATCAAGACACTTAGAGAGTGTGATTAAATTTAGGTTTGATAGCCGTACTATTAAGAGGGGTGAAACTCGTATCGGAATGCGGTTATCAAAGTGCCACTAGATGCTCTAACTCATTGCATATGTATTTAAGATCTAGTGGAGTGCTAACACCCTTGAAAATGTTTGTGAAAATATACTAACACATGTGCACAAGGTGATACATGTAACACCCTCGGTGTTACATTGCACTGTTTTGCTAAACATCGCATGAGCATCATGGTTATGTGCATATATGTATAACATGAATTATAAAGCAATGTTCGGTCCTTGAAACGTTTATATGAAACGAGAAAGCGAATGTTATGTTTCGTGTCACATAACATTGTTTATTATCCTAATCGAATTCTTGCTAAAACAAAAAGGCTATAGAACATTTTGTGATCGGCGATAAAACATGTGTGGTCGAGGACAAGGATAGCTAGCTAGTAGATCCCGTAGGTCCGATTTGGAATTCGACGCGAAATCATTCGAATCGACGTCGTTCGCGTAAGTTTTAGGAGAGGTCGACGAAGCCACTTTTGGCGACCTTTGTGGAGTGATTGGCTTAAGAGGTAGCGTGAGGTCATGACTGCGGTTGATAGCTTGATGTACCCTCTTGCACATCGAACAATTAGTTTAGCGTTTGGAGTATTGCGTACAAGTTTTCTAACTACTTTAGAAAGCGGGCACGGCACATGGCTTAGCCTTGGGTGCGGTCACCACCGCTACTGGCTTGCCAGCGTGCACTGCCACGCAGGGCGCACCCGCTGCCATGTCGGCTGCGCCCCACTACCGCGCCTGTGCACACGCACGCCCTGCGCACCAAGGCCGTCTGCCTCTGCTGCTGGCCACGACTCCGCTGCTGCTCGCCTACCACCGCGGCTGGCTCGCCCTATGCGCCGAGGCGCAGGCCATGTCGTCATGCTGCCGTGAATGCGATGCGAGCAGGCCCGGCACTGCTGCCCTCGCTAGCGTGTAGGTCACCTCATCGTCTGATGCGTTGCACTAGGACTCCGACCGAGCCCTGCCGCGCCATGTCCTGCACCGCTTTGGCCGGAGGCGCACCGGGTCACGCGCTACACGCCGCCAGCGGCCAAGCCCGGCACTGCACCGTTGACTCCACTTGGCTGCTTGCGTGAGGGATGACAGCCTAACTCCACCATCACCTCCGCGTCACTCGCACCGTGTTCCTTGTCTGGCGCTGCCCACTGCGACGCCGTGCCGAGCCTCGTCGACTTGCAGCCGTGGCCGTGCGGACAGCCGCCTAGGGCACGTCCTGCTG